TGATTGTCTGCGTCTTTATCCAGTCTAACTTTCTGTCACTGAGTTCAAGGCGTTTACTATTTTGCCTCTTCCCCACCTCTGGAATAGACGTGCAGATCAGGGCCACGGTCTGAATTGCTCACACAATTCATTCTGCTTGTGCCCAGTGCCTCCAAAGGGGTCTGACTCAGAGCAGCTGCTCAATAAATATTTGCTCATTGATTGAATTAGTAGCCAAGATGGAATTGGCTCCCAGGCCAGCGGGTTTCTCTGCAGTTGCTGTCTGCAAAGCTCAGGGAGGTCTAAGTGTTGGGAGGATGGATGGCCTGGGAGTTTGGAGCACCAAATGGCAGGGGGCAGGGGGAGAGGGTGTTGGAGGGGAGAAGGAGCTGCGGACGGGGTGTCTGCTTTAATTGTCAGAAGGCAGCTGGCCATTTGTTTTTGGTCAGATAAGCTGCCAAAACAGGACTTGTGAGTGCGTGAGTGTGTGAGAGGCTGGGCTGGGGCGGGAAGCGGAATCCCAGAGTGGGCTGGGCAGCAGCCCCTGTTCCCGAGGCCCTTCCCTCCCCTTTCCCTCTGATGGCCCAGCCAGCTGTTAGGGACACAGCTGCCTCTTGGGGAGGGAGAAAAGGGCCCTGTTGCCCTGGGTGAGTTCCGAAGCTCCAGAGTTCAAAGCAAACCTGAGAAGGGAGGGGGCTGGAGCAAAGAGCAGGGAGACAGGAGGTGAGAAGTCAGCGAGGGGCAGGGAAAGGCAGGCTTCCTCTTTGAAGTCCTCAACCCAGAGCGTGGGGCAAGGCCTGGTGAGGTTCCTGTGTTTCCCCCTCATCCAGGCCCCCAGAGAGATCCAATTAACTGCCCTTTCCTGTCTTCCGACGAGGATGTTTATCCAGATCCTTGGGCTCACCGTACACTTGCTAAGTCAACAGCGCACCCAAAGCACACACGTGCCCCGTGCACACACAATCCCATATGCTCACAGGGGACCCCACAACACACACCAGCCCCGCACAGCCACACAGCCAGGGCACAGGGCCAAGCTAGTGTTGCTCTCTAGGCCAGGAATCTGAGGGGCTTGAGGGGTGGAGGAGGGCATTGATTCAATGACCCAGAGGTGCCCCAGCAGTCTGGGCTCTTCATCTCAGGCTTGTCACCATATCCTAAGAAATCCCTCAGGAGAGACAGAAGTCCCCCAGAAAACTCGTTTGGCCTCTGCAGGACAGGCCAGCTGGGGGACACAACCTGAGCTGCTGGTTTGCCCGGTGGCTCAGGCTAGATCATTTGTTGTCAATTTAACAAACGGAGAACAGCTCCAGGTGAAGACCAGCCTCTCCCCTCCTTTCCCTGAGTGTGCTCCTATGGCTACAGTCCACCAGGCGCCACACTGAGGGGGCACAGGAGGGAAAAGTAAGTTCTGCCCATGTGCTCTCTTTCCCTGGTGAGGGCTTCCTTCTGGGCCTTGGGGGCATGTATGATCTGGTCCTATTTACTGAGCTCTCCTCTTCTGCGGATGGGCAGGGACCTTGGGTGTCAGGTGGGCTGAGGGAGGTGGCCTCCTTCTGGACATCTCGGCCACTGCTGGGCCCATCTGGCTCCAGCTGGCTCTCTGTTGGAAGCCAGGTCTTATCAACACTCCACCCTTCTGGCCCCAATCAGCGGCCCCTCCCAGGCTTGGTTCCCCCCCCCCCTCCCGCCCCCATTTCCTCTCATTTCAACCAGTCTGATTCCCCTGGTGAGATTAATTGCTTCTTACCACCTATGAGGCAGAGAGCCCGAGGCCAGGGGATTAAAGTGATGAATGCATACCCTCTCCCACAGCTCTCTATCTGACTCAGGATCCAAATGGGAACAGCTGGGAGGAGGGGCCTGATTTTGGTGCCACTTGCACCCCTCCCTCTATGTTCCCAGCTGCAAAGGACAGGGGGATACCTGCACCTTTCTGGGGGGAAGCAGAGACCTGGATTCGTTGGGGGGTCTTGAACTTGACCTTTATCCTGGAATGTTCTGAGCAGTCATTTCTATTGTAACAGGAACATCAGCTGTGAGCTGAGTTGAGCCAAACAGGTTGCTGTACAACACTGTTGTCCCTTCTGATAAGTCAAGGTTGATGAAGGTTAATTGGTGCCGCCCAAGTTTGCTGTTGGGTTGTACCAACAGTCAATCATTCTGCCATCCACACAAGCTTCTGTTAGACAAACGTGTAGGAGAAAGCAGTTTGTTCCCTGGGTTCTGTGAGAGCCGGGAAGCCCGAGTTGGGTCCTATTGAGTGTCCCAAGCACTATTTTGCAGACTGCAAAGATGTCACCTCCCCGGCTGGCATCGAATCCTCTTTAAAAATGGCTGGGCACAGCGCTATTTCTGGACCAAGCTATGTTGCCAGTCCCGAGGGTTTAGTGTAGACTGTTCCCTGGCAGGATTCATTTACCCTGTTCAACCGAGAGGGGGCGGTCTCTGTAAAATATTTTAGCCAATCTATTTTAAATTCTCCCCTCCCTCCAGAATGTGTATTTCCAAGTAAATTCCATGTATCCTAGCACCGTTGTACATTTCTATTGCGCTCAATGGATGACAAATGCCTCAAGTTAAAGAGGGTGGGAGATTTTCCTTAGGGATCATAGTGGGTTAGTCTATGGACTCAAGGCAGCTTTGGTTCAAATTCTGATCGTGGCAACTACGAGCTGGGTGACTTTGGGCAAGTTATTGGACCTCCCCATGCCTCAGTTCCTCCATCTGCAAAATGAAGTACCTATTTCCTAGGGTCGTCTTGCCAATGAAAAGAGATAACAAGTACATACAAAATAGAAAATGTTTAGAAGAATTCCTAGCACATAGTAGGGACTCAATGTGCAATCCTCAGGAGAAACACCAAGCCTTTCTCTTTTGCACATTGCCTCTAGGTAAAGGTCCTCCAAGACCTTCAGGATCTTATCATCCTCTCCAGCCTCTTCTCCTGAATCTCCCCATTGCACCCTAAGGCGTTGGCTGTGTTTATTTTCATTTTTTTAAAAAGCCTTTGCATTTTATGTTTCTTCCTCTTGGTCTATGCTCCCTGTTTTCCTCTGACTTTCTATTCTTGGCAAGCTCCTGTTCAAATAACAGGAGCCCAAGGACACGTTTTCCTGTCCTGCCCTATCTTTGTAAAAATGGTTTTAATTTCCCCAATGTAGGAAATTTCTCATAAAATCCAGGATTTGAAGTTGAAAAACCAGAAGGCACAGAAATGCTGGTAACCAGAGACAGAGCTGAGGAGGCCTCCTTCACTCAGTATTGTCTCAAACTGGCTGTTTACCCATGCATGTTCTTCGCCTGATCCTTGTGGGTACTTGAGTTGGGAGGCTTTCTGAACAAACCTCCCTTAAGACAACGGATTCTAGTTTTGTAAACCCTTTGCATTGGGGGTGGGCAAGACTGGATTTTGCATCATTTCACCCCTGCCCAACTTTAGGTGGCCTCCTCCACTCTTGGGGGGTGGGTATTATTTTATCTTATCTGGTGCACCCTTCCCTCCTGGTGACCAGAGGTCCTGGGGAGGTGGGCAGAGCAGAATGAGTTTCTATAGGACTGTGCCTCTGGCGTCTATTCCAGGCTGCTCCTTTCTCTGCTTCCTCCTCTAGCTGTAACACCCTGTCCCTGGCCCGACAGAAGCCCCCTTGTCCATGTAGGGCATAAGAACCCGAGAACTGAAATGCTGCCCTGTTCTTATTGCATAGTACCTCCTACACTCACCCCTCTTCCTACGGACTCCCTTTTTCATTCTCTCTCTAACTCATCCATTTACTTATTTACTCAACAACCATTTAGTGATCACTTACTATATGCCAGGCACCGTGCTGGGCACTTGGAGAAGAAGAAAAGCAAATGGCAAAACCAGAACAAAAGTCATCCTGTGACCTTGGGCAAAAGACATTTACCTTGCTAGACCTGTTTCCCTGTAGGTTTAATAACTTGATTCGATATTCTTTTGTCTGGGGTTTCTTCTATCCTGTGACTCTGACCTGACTCTAAAACTTCTGATGCCATTGAAGTATGGTAGCAACCATACTTAGGTAAAAACCGCTGTTTGAATTTTAACCCTGTTATTCTGGCTTCGGCACTCGCTTACTTGCTTAAACTAGGATAGTTACCTCAGCTTCCAGATTGAGACCTGGAGGCTAAGGCAGTTTTCCTGTGCCTGTGGACCAGGACCACAGGAGATGGATTCCCACCGACTCAGGAGCTTCAGGAGTAGAAACTGTAGATAACCTTTAGAGATTAACCCCTCATCTCTGCTTCTGTACTATCTGCTTTCGCAAGATAGGGCCACATGCCAATGTCCAGCAGGATATGGCTGGGAGCTGCCCTGCAGGCTGCTCCTACCGTAGCATTTAGAATTTAGAATTCAGAACAAAGAAAAAATTTTTGTGGTTTAGACCTTTAAAAGGACTGCCTACACCTGAAATGGCGTGGTTGTGAGTGTGGACTCCATCTGCGTGTGGTGCTCTCGTGGCCGTCCTGGCCAGTTCAATAAATCCTTGCCTGCTTTTTTTTTTTTTTTTTTTTTTTAAATAAATATATTTATATTGATTTCTTACAGAGAGGAAGAGAGAGGGATAGAGAGTTAGAAACATCGATCAGCTGCCTCCTGAACACCCTTCACCGGGGATGTGGCCGCAACCTTGACCGGAATCGAACCGAGGACCTTTCAGTCTGCAGGCTGACGCTGTATCCACTGAGCCAAACCGGTTCTGGCATTGCCTGCTTTTTTAAAAATCAATTAGCAGCCTCCAGTGGTCTTATTTTGACTCCAGGGTTCGACCCCACAACACCATCTGCAAACTGCTATATGCTGACAGCTTATGAATTACAAATAAATCTCCCTGTACCTGCATCTGGTAAAATATAGAAGTTCCCAGAGAGAGAGAGAGGGTCAAAGCAGAAGGGTGAAGGAGAATGAAGTGAGCGAGAAAAGTACTGGGAAGTCTGGTCTGGGAGAGGGCAGGCAGGAGTGGAGGGAGGGTGGGACAGACCCAAAGGGCTAGACCCGCCTGCCAGGAGGGCTTGCCAGATGCTCAAACCGGTCAAAATCTCACACCCTCCTTGTCCCCAACCCGTCCTGGCTCCAGCTAGGGCTAGATTTCAATCTGCATAATTTGCCCCACTTAGAGAAGATGGGAGGGGGTGAGAACAGGAGGGTGGTGAGGACTGAGCGGGGGAGGGGGTGGGTGCACTCCAAAGATTAGAGGAAACCAGAGGGATAGAGGCGGGACCAGGAGGAGAGTGGGCTGCAAGCCACAGATAACATTCTGCCCAGCACGGCAGGGGTCAATTTGGTTCACTTGCCCAGTGACAAGAAGGGAAAAGAAAAAAAAAAAAAAAAAAAAAGTGGGCTGTAACCTAAAGATCTTAAGACTCACAAGTGAGGGGTTGGTTTGGAAGTGGGAGGAGGGAGTGAGGAGCTGAGGAGGAGACGGGACAGACTCGGGAGGGTGCAGGAAGCTCTGAGCTGGGGCTGGGGCCAGGCAGGAGAGGGTGGGGAAGTCTGTGGGCGCAGTCATCCTCCCGGGTCCGGTCCAGAGGCAGCTTCTTCCCGCTGTTGGGACGGCTCTGGACACCTTTGGCTCCTCTTGCCTGTATTCCAAGGCGCAAGCCAGACGCCCCGGGCCGCTTGCTTGCTTGCTGAGCTGGTGACACAGGACACAGCCACAGAGCTGGGACCCTCTGCCTGCCTGCTCTCTGCCCGGCAAGCAGCATGGAGGAAAGTAGCGAATTTGACAACGACTATGGGGCGGACAACCTGTCCGGGTGTGAGTACACGGACTGGCAGTCGTCGGGGGCCCTCATCCCGGCCATCTACATGCTGGTCTTCCTCCTGGGCACCACGGGCAACGGCCTGGTGCTCTGGACCGTGTTCCGGAGCAGCAGCCGGGAGAAGCGGCGCTCGGCGGACCTCTTCATCTCCAGCCTGGCGGTGGCCGACCTGACCTTCGTGGTGACCCTGCCGCTGTGGGCCACCTACACGTACCGGGACTACGACTGGCCCTTCGGCGCCTTCGCCTGCAAGCTCAGCAGCTACGTCGTCTTCGTCAACATGTACGCCAGCGTCTTCTGCCTCACGGGCCTCAGCTTTGACCGCTACCTGGCCATCGTGAGGCCGGTGGCCAACGCGCGGCTGCGGCTGCGGGCGAGCGGGGCGGCGGCCACGGCGGCGCTGTGGGTGCTGGCCGCCCTGCTGGCCGCGCCGGCCATGCTGCTGCGCGCCACGATCGAGGTGCCCTCCGGCCCGGATAACGGCACCAAGGTGCAGTGCTACATGGACTACTCCCTGGTGGCCTCCGACAACTCCGAGTGGGCCTGGGAGCTGGGCCTGGGCGTCACGTCCACGGCCCTGGGCTTCGTGGTGCCCTTCACCGTCATGCTCACCTGCTACTTCTTCATCGCGCAGACCATCGCTGGCCACTTCCGCAAGGAGCGCGCCGAGGGCCTGCGCAAGCGGCGCCGGCTGCTCAGCATCATCGTGGTGCTCGTGGTGACCTTCGCGCTCTGCTGGCTGCCCTACCACCTGGTGAAGACCCTCTACACGCTGGGCAACCTGCTGCGCTGGCCCTGTGCCTTCGACCTCTTCCTCATGAACGTCTTCCCTTATTGCACCTGCATCAGCTACGTCAACAGCTGCCTCAACCCCTTCCTCTACGCCTTCTTCGACCCCCGCTTCCGCCAGGCCTGCACCTCCATGCTCTGCTGTGGCCTCGGCCGCCGGTGTGGGGCCGCCTCCCACAGCAGCAGCGGCGGGGAGAAATCGGCCAGCTACTCCTCCGGGCACAGCCAGGGGCTCGGCCCCAACCCCGGCAAGGGCGGGGAGCAGACCCAGGAGAAGTCCATCCCCTACAGCCAAGAGACCCTGGTGGTGGACTAGGGCTGGGACCCCCAGAGAAGCCTGGTGCCCTCTGCACGCCTGGGTGCATGCCCTTGCTCCCTGGCAGTCAGGTAGCACCAGGGCACTCTTGCTCATGCACGGGGACGCCATCCTGGCTCCCTGCCTCCCGCCTTCCTCTTGCACTCCTCCTTTCTCCTTTAGTGTTTGGTCAGAGGTTGCGGTGTGATGGAAGGAGACTGAGCCCTGCAGGTCTGAGCTCGGCCACTCAACAGCTGTGAGGCTGACTTTGCACAAGTCTCTTAACTTCTCCGAGCCTCAGTGTCTCCATTTGTGTATGTATAATGGGGGAAGTCATACGGGCACTGCAATGATGGGTGCGTCTGGCTCGGGAAAAGTTGGTGTCTTCCCAACCCTATCTCCCCTCCCCTCATCCTTTATTCTGGGATCCCAGTTCTTTCCCCCCCCTTCCTTTCTGTTTAGATTTCTCTACCCTCTCCCTCCCTTTGTTTTTCCCTCTATTTCTGTATAGTTGTCCCCCTCCTCTGAATCCTTAGCTCTGGCTTCCGCCCCTTTCTCATAGCTCATGCCTCCCCTCAATCCATCCGTCCTCTGTCACCTCCTTATTGTGAGGGGCTCCTAAGGGTTAAGAATCCTGAAGCTTGCAAACACTGTTCCTGTTCAAGCTCTTTATCCTGTTCTCTGAGGAAGCCAAGGGGACCGGCTGGGGCGGGGGTGGGCTGGGTGTCAGGGACAAGTTAGCACTAGCACTCCAGGCTGCAGGAGCTCCAAAACTTTCCTCCAAACCGGGTCAGAGTGCTGTGATTTCAGGCACCTCTGGGGGCTCCCTTCCCACAGCCCATCTGTGAATCCTAGCGCTCTCTGCAGTTTCCCGGGGCGCTGTCACTCATCCTCTGATCTCTGCGGGAACTGGAGGGCAGTGGGTTCACAAGCAATGGGTTCCTTGGATTCCTCCTGTGAATGGGGGGTTGGGAAGGGACAGGGAGAAAAAGGGGAGTCAGCATTGGGTCTATATGTGACTTGGCTTCTCTCCCACAGTCTTGCCCCTCCAACCTCCTCCAGAGCCCAGCTTACCCCACCCCACCCCACCCCACCCGGCACCCCAGGATGCGTTTCTTGGGCACTGGTGCTACTCCGTGCCAAGAGTCAACTTGGGATGTGGTGGCGATGCTTGCTTTGAGTGTGTATATGTGTATATATGTAAACCTGGGTGAACATAACATGACAGCAGGGTGCCTGTGCCACTTGTCACTTGGATGACCCCCCCCCTCACCTCTATTCTTCACACAGTATGTTTGAGAGAAGAAGGGACATATTGAGGCAATATGGAATAAAAGGGAGCCCACCCCCACTGGATTTGGGGGTTCTGACGGCTGGTCCGTGCTTTAAGAGAGAAGCCTGTGTTTGTGTTTGTTCCTGGCTCCCTGTAGGGACATCTCTCCCCAGAGCTGCTGACACTGAGGCTTGGGGATGAACTAGGGTTCTATGTGCTGGGTCCCAGTACCTTTCCTAGTTCCATGAGGGAACCAGGAGGCTGGTGGAGAGCCTCCCTTGGCCCTATTCTCATCTTGCTTTGAGTTTCTGGGCGTTTTCTTCAGCATCCTCCCTTTTTCCAGGGTCTGGGACTCTCTTCCTAAGGGGGAGGGGGGCTCCTCCTTGCCTTGGGGTAAAGAGCCCTGTGGGTTTTTCTCACTCCACCATCAGGATCGGACCCCTTGGCTTCTCCTGCTTGGTTGGGGGCTGAGAGCAGTGCCTGGAGCAGCCGTGCAGAGCTGAGAGCATGAGTTCACACATCCAGAGGGCAACATTGATGGTCTGTCCTTTGTGAGCTGGGGCAGGGTGTGTATATTCCGGGTTTTGTCTTTGGAGGATTCTACATGTGAAGGATAAGACATCAGCTGCGGAGGCAGGAAGAGCCCAGCTTGGTGTAAATGGACATCTTGGTCATTGCTGGGATGGAGCCAACTTGGAGTGGAGGCAGGAGGAGAAGGAGAATAAAGAGACTCAGCTTAGTAGTCTCCCTGCCACAAGCCAGAATCTTCCACAGACTCACTTTCTCAGCCCAGGGCTGTCCTTAAAGCATCCAGTCAAGGGTGAAAGAAGCTTCTAGAAGGGAAGAGGGTGTGCCCCTCAGAGACCCTCCTGGGGACTTGCAGAGACCTCCCACCTGGAACTCATCGGTGGTCCTGGATAGAGAGTGGAGGAGGCTGCTTGCAGTGACCCTCCCCTGTCCCCAGCCTGCCTCTTCTTGGAATGTCTGTGCTATTTTCTGACCCTATTGGTCACTGCGGTTCATCAAATAAATCTGTTTTGTGTAACTCTTGTGTTCAAAGACCCTTCCCACACAAGTGTCTTGGGATGCTGAAAAGAGCCCCAATTTACAGATGTTACAACGGGAGGTGGCATGAGCCCAGCTGAGAGAGAATAAGAAGGGAAGTGGAAGCTAAAAGGACTAAAGTGGGAAACTGGAAAGGACACGGGGAAGCTGCAAGAAGATGAAGAAAATAGACCCCAGGGAAGCAAAACTTTTGGGATGAGATCAGGGGGAAGGCAAAGGAAATAAAGGGATCGGGAGCAGCTAAGTTTTTGTGTTTGGAAAAGCCTAGAATAAATGGGCACACATTTTGGAGTCTGGAGCACAGATCTGAGGGAAAATATTAACATTTCTTCCTGTGAAGGTAGACCTATTATTTATTCACTAGAGGCCTGATGCATGAAATTGTGCACAGGTGGGGTCCAGCCAGACCACCCCAATCAGGGCCCAGTGGGGGAAGGCCTGCAGGCAGTTGGTGGGCCAGCCCCACCCCTAATTGGGGTGAAGGGGGCCAATTGGAGGGGCTGCCATGGGGGAGGGACCACAGGCAGTTGGTGGTCAACCCCACCTCCTGGTCAAACTTCCAATCGAACTCCTGGTTGAGGGGCAATTTGCATACTAGACTTTTATTATATAGGATTAATTAATTAATTAATTAATTTATCATCCCCTATTGACTCATTCGTTCATTATCACATGAGCATCCATTCAGTTAGACGAGAAGTTCCAATGCTTGTTCTCCCATCAGAATCACTCTGGATGCTTTTGTAAATATTCATGCTTTTTGTCACCAAGACCAATGAATCCAAATCTCCTGGACTTACCCCACATGTTTTTAATTACTAAAAGCTCCTCAAATGATTTTGGGGGAGGCCACGTTTGGAGATGTTTCCTTCTATATAGATTCTGTCCAAATTAACATTTGGCACAAAAAGACTAGAGAGTCAGAGGCAGAAGCACCCAGGCTCTGGGCAGTTATAGAATTGGGAGAGGACAGGGCTGGAATGAAGATGTGTTCACCATCTTCCACAAAGACCTCTACTTACTAAGAATGTTTGCAGATAACACAGACGCAGTCACTGTGGTAGAATGTAGAATGGGCAGGAACATGAGAGATCACATTTACCACAGCACTAGCATTTCCCAAGCATTATCTCACTTAATCCTTGCAATCCTCTACCAGGGACATTTTAACCTCATTTTGCTGATCAGGACGCTGACGATCAGAGAACTTAGTTAGGTCCCTTGACCAAGATTACACAGCCAGTCCAGGCCTAGAACCAGCTAAGTCTAACACCAAAGCTCATGCTCTTGACCACTGTCCCCCCCAAAGTACAAACGAGGCTGTACCAGGTGGGTAGGATGGAAAGTGAGGTGTCCACCTGTAAGGTGCCTGCCACAGGTGGACCATACATGGAGAGTGCTCCAGGCGTGGGTGGATGGGGCAGGATGGAGATGGGACTGAGAGGGTGGATGATGCATAAGAAAGAGGGAGAAAAAGAGAGAAAGGGGAAGGGAAGGGAAAAGAAACAGATGGAGACAGAGACAGCAGAAAGGAGATACAGAGACAAAGAGAAATAGGACAGAGTGTAGGGAGGTAGGTGGAAAGCAGAAACTAGGAGGCAGGGAGGAGTTGGAAGACAGGGTATCAGTGCTTGTGTTCAGTCTTCTGAAACACACCAGGGAAAACCCTGTGGGGATTTACAACTGCAACAATGAACTATTCAGACAATTTTGCTACAGATGCTGAAAAAGCCTCACCAGCTCTATAGAGAAATTTGAGGTAAGCTACCCCCCAAATTGTAAGATTATAGAACAGTTAATAATTCATTTGTTCACACGTTTCTTCACTCACTCACTCACTCACTCACTCACTCACTCACTTACCTGTTTCTTCAACAAGTTCTTATTTATTACTTAGGTGCCAAGGAACATGCTGGGCACAGGATCAAACAGTGAATAGGACCCTGTGGCTGCCAGTCTGGTGATGGAAACAGACTGTTGAATGAGTGATTATATTGGAGTGTGGCTTGAAGAAAGGGAATGTAGAAGTGTGTGGAGGGCCTTATCTAAGCGATGGAACGAGTCTGGGCGTGTATCAGGGCAGACTTTAGATACAGGATGGATGCCAGGAGGCTGCTCTCGCAGGGTGAGGGTGAGCGATACATGGAGAAACCACTCTGTGCAGAGGAAATGCCCACAGATGAGAGAGCGTGCAGCTCCTCTGAAGAGCTGGAAAGAGAGCTCATCTAGTTCTCACCCCAACCCCTCCTCAGCTCTGGGAGGTGAGCCAGGCAGAGGCACTGGGAAAAGTTTGCCCAGGTCTCAGGGTATGGATGACAAGCAGATTGGGGCTGGGGCTAAAATCTGGGTCTCTAAACAATGTAGGGGAGTCAGATTTTTTTTTTTTTTTTTTTTTGTGGCTTCTAGTTTCTCTCACCCTTAGGCTTGACCTACCTTCCTCTAAGATATCTGTCAAGGTCTTCTAAAGAGACCCTCTCATGCTGGGTCTGTTGGAAAAAATTGCTAAGAAGGGGTAGATGGATCCTTTGGGAAGACCTCCCTGAAACTAGAATGACATCCAGCATAATAGAATCTTGCTCTGATTATCCTGCTGTCTCAGCGGTACCACTCAGTCTGAACTCCAGGGTGCATGAAGCTAGCAAGGCATGATTCATCGGGTGCAGTTCTTTTCACTTATTGCCCAAAATGCTTGTAAAGTTGCTATGAGCGATGTTAGAGTCACAAAGACATGACTCAGAACTTAAAATTAAGTGCACAAGAAAGGAGATTTGGAAATGTTGGGCTGATTCTAGAAGTTTCAATTTGTAGTTTGAATGTTAGAGCATCAAGCAATATTCATTGATTTATTCATTCAACAGACCTATCATGCGTCGGGGACTGTTAGAAGCTGAGGATACAGAGGTGGGCCAGATATGACCTCTGTCTTCATCGAGCAACTTAAAGAACCTTCTAGTCTTAACTTCCCATTGAATAGATGGATAAATTAAGGCCCACAGAGGAGGACCCATCTATACAATATCTTATGGTGGAAGGATGGCAGAGTGGGACTAGAACTCAGGCTTCTCACTGCCGGGCAATAGCATGTTCCATGTTTCCAGGTTTAGAAAATAGAAAGGGTCTTTTATCGAGGCTATGAAGAACAAGTGGAGAGGGTCAAAGCAATGATGGATCACTAACTGGGGAGTGGGAAGGCACAAAGGGGCTGAGAGATGGTTAGCCATAGTTTCATTAATACACCTTTTATTTTAGAAGAGTTGTAGTTTTAAGAAGCATTGAATATAGGGAGCTCCATATATTCCACATCTAACATCTAACATTAGTAGGACATACTTGTCACAATTAATGAACCAACATTGATATACAGGATGTCCCCCCAAAATGTACACACCACTAAAAGCTGATAGTTCAATGGACATTCCCCCCCCCCCCCCCCCCCAGATTTAACCCATTGGAATGAATAATTATTCCAAGTGTGTATACATTTTTTTGGGACACCCTATATTACTACTAACTGCCCATACATTATTCAGCCTTCCTTACTTTTTACCTATGTCCTTTTTCTGTCTTAGGTCGTTATCTAGGAGACCTCATTGCATTTAGTCATTATGTCTCCTTAGGCTCCTCCATGTTAGGACTGTTTTTTTGACCTTGTTTTTGTTGGCCCTGACAGTTTTGAGAAGTACATGTCCGGTATTTTGTTCTGTGTACTTTTTAAAACAAATACGCTTTTATTTCCACATACCAGGCACATGCTAGATGATAAGGAGAGAGCAATAAATAAAATACAAGTGATTCCTGCTCTCTGGCAGTTTAACAATGAGTAGTAAAGTGTAGTAGCATCATTGAAGGAAGCACAGCATGCCACGGAGGCACCACCCGTCTTTTCCTGTGCAACAATGAGTGATCACAGATGGGTCAATGCACTGGCTGAAAACATAGGTCATCTGCAGCTCCACCTGGTTTCAAATGTGGCATTCTCTTCCACCTCCAAAGCATCCTAGAGCTCATTTCTGGCCTGAATGACTGGAAACTTGAGGACATGAGACAAAAGCATATTGTATTCAGTGGGCATCTTATCCCTTATTGTTCTGTACTTTATTATTTAGTCGTGTGACACATTTCTTGCCTACTCAAGAATGGACAGGAAGTGGATTCCCCAAATCTGCCTGAACTACCCCACACAGTCAGCACCCTTCTTGTCTTTTACTTTTGTGGGAACATATTTATAGAAGAGCCCTTTTTGACTGCAATGTAATGGCTCTATATAGTACAAAGATGGGTAAACACAGTATAGTTTTGTAGTGATCAGTTCAGTGTTTAAAAACACACACAGAATTTCTCAAAGTATAGTTTTGCAATGATCAGTTCAGTGTTTAAAAAACACAGAATTTCTCAAAGTATAATTTTGCAATAATTAGTTCCGTATTTATGCTGAACACTTTGACTTCAGGTCTCTCTGGTTGGATGGTATTGTGCGAGGCTGGTTGGCTTCCTGTGGAAGTTAATCGGCGAGCTAACGAGCTGGCACTGAGTCAGTTTCTGGTTAACTGTTCATGGAGGAAGGACTCTCATGATGGTGGGATGTGCCAATTGAGTAAAAAATAAAATCTTGGACTTCCCCCTTCTATAAAAATACCCAGGGAAAACTTCTCTTCCGGACCTTAAGAAAATCTGGTCCAGGCTTAAGGGCATCCAAGAAGATTTGGCAGTCTTTCTTCTGGGTCTGGAATATGTCCATAAGTTCAAGAGCTTTTCCTGTATGATGGGGTGAAATGGCATCTCTTTTGACAGAGAACAGATTTTTGACAGCAGGGATAATAGTGACCCAGAGTTTGGGGACTGTCATCCCAAGGTGACAGGATTGAAGAGCATGGATGTGATCCTTACCATAGGAAAAAGGATGCACCAATATAGTGGTTAGTTGGTTTCCGGGATGAGACCCGGAAGCCATTGAGCATCCCTGGGATTCAGCTGGCTGCCAGTTCTGTATTGGGGTTGTTATCACACTATCAGGATCCCTGGAAGGTGATGGTTATTTGCTGTGCTAATTATTAGCTATTTTGATGTTTGGGAAAAGTGGAACAGCAATTACCAAAGGAGTTGACTAAAGACAGATGTTGAGGCTGGAGGAGGAAGTGATTCCATTCTGACTGTGGAAGTCCCAGCAGCCCAACATGCTGGCATGAAAAAACACAGCATTAATTGAGTTGGCAAGGAATGTTTTTACCCTCCTACTTTACTAATGAAGAAAGTAAACCCTGGGGAAGGTAAATGACTTTTTAAATGTCATTGATAGGTAGTAGCTAAGTTGGTTGATGGGGCTCTCTTAATTCCCAGGCCTGCTTGCTTTTCATGTCACCAAGTTATCTCTTTTCTAAACTATAGATGGTTTTGGAAGGAATATTTGTTAGAGTAGACAGAAAATAAAAGGTAGTATTGTCATGTCCAACTTGTGTTAGTGATAATTTAGCTTTTTTTAGTCAAAACTATGATGTTAGTTTCTGCTGTCCATTCTGTTAAGAGCACAATTAGTCAGGTCTAGTCTGAATCCCAACTCTTCTTTGTTTGTGTCATCAAAACCAGTATTTCTTAAACTTTAGTGTGAAGAAGAATCATTGGTGATGTTAAAATACAGATTCTGATTCAGTAGGTCTGGGGTGTGTCCAGAGGATGTTGTTTCTTTAAAAGACTTCTGGCAATGGTGCATGCTGTAGGTCCAAGGAACACACTCAGGGGAGCAAAGATCTGGGACATAATATTCATCAATGGACTGCTTTCTAATCTATAAAATGGGATAATAAAAGTGGTTACCCATAGTACTTGTTTGAAGGTTCCATGAGTAATGCTTGCACAGTTTTGGGCACATAAAAAGTAATCAATAATGTTCCAGTCCATTTGGGCTGATAGAACTAAATATCATAAACTCAATGGCTTCTAAACAACAAACATATAATTCTCACAGTGGTGGAGGCTGGAAAGTTCAAATTCATGGCCCTGGCAGGTTCAGTGTCTGATGAGATCCCACTTATTCATGGGAAGCCGTCTTCTCACTATGACCTCACATGGAGGAGTTAACTAGCAGGTAAGTTGCTAGACTTTAGTGGTGGGAAAATGATGGAATCCTGGTTTTGTATTTTTAATTTTCAAGTGACTTGTAAGAGGAGTTCATCAGGTGTGCAGGAGGTAGTGAAAGGTGTATATAAAGTTTTGAAGACTTAAAGTATCATTTTGGGCAACGATAAAGCAAAATTCCTAGGGAAGTATACAGTGCTAATTCTCTCCTTTGAGATTTGTGTCCATGAGTATAAAGGGGAATCAATTAGTCAGGTTGTGTGATTTTTCTCTGGCATTTAGTTGCTGTGGTTACAAGCATAGAGAAGATGCTCATTAAGTGTTGGGAGTTTGCAAGGTGATTGTGACAGAGGAGGGAGGCATGAGGTGTTGGGGTTGTCTGCAAGAGAGTAGTTATAAAGAAGTGCAATGGAATTAATTTCTATAAGGAAGGAAGCAGAGACAGGAGGTAGGCATATGGACATGTGGTGGACATGGGTTAGTGGTCATTAAAAGGGACAAGAAATGTGGGAGTGGGTAGCCCCACTACAGCAAGTGAGCTAGAGGAATGGGAAGTGGAGGTCAAAGAATAAGATTTCAAAATAGAAATTTCTGGCAATGACAGGGTCTATGGTGTAACTGTTGAGAGGATAGCTGAAGTGGAATGAACAACAAGATTGTTGGGGTCAAAGACATCAAGAAATGGAGAGTCCAAGCTGTTGGGTGAGCTCACTCTCTATATATATTGACGTTCTGAGGATTATTGTAGGAAGAAGGCAGTGAATATGATTGTACCCAGGAGCTAAAGTGTGCAGTAAAGGAGGAATAATGACTAAGAGAAGAGTAGAAGGAGCCCAATGAGAAGGATGGCATGGGTATGAAATAACTATAAGTAGGGACATGGTTAGCCCATATGCTTCTGTGCAAATTAGGAAAAAATGCCTCTTCTCCAATGGGAAGAAGCATAGGGTGGGGAATGTGGGCTGGATTTTATTCACCCCTCAGATGGGCATTCTTGGCAAGGACACACCCTACTTGGGCAACCTAGTAGAGCCATCCATACCTGGTAGTTCCAGTTGAATGGCACAGGCATAAAAAAAGTCAGCTTTTTGCAAGAGAAATATCCCGAAAGAGGTCACGGGGAGCAAAGATCAACACTCTGATTTTACAGGCAGGGAAACTGAGGCACAGAAAAGGGAAATATGCACATAGGAGGTTGGCAGCAGAACTGAAACAAGACTCTTTTGACACTTGGTGTTTTCTGCCACAACTCGTCATGGAAGTGACGTTTTAGCAAATGCTTCAGAATTGCAAATTAAAAAAAAAAAAGCCCCACATGTTTTCCCTCAAAGTCGCTTCTGTGGGAGGTGACAGACTTATTTCTAGTGATGCTGCCATTGTTCCAACCATTTCTGGAAACTCCTTCAGCTATCTGATCTTCAGATCCAGCTCTGAGTCACAAAGACAGCCCACCGCACTGGAGAGCCTGGGTCTGAGAGCCCGAGAAGCAGCCTAGAAATGGGGCCTCTCTACATCTTATTTGAACACATAGGTACTTGGCACTCAGCATGTTCTAGGCCCATGAGATCCCCATCAAGCTTCGGGGGGTCAGCTATCGCTGTGAGGTATATTTGGTTTGAAAAGGTTTTGTTTTGCAAAGCTGGTGTGCATGAAGTTTGCATGTGTCTGATATCTTAAATGCAAGCAACAGAACCTTCCCCACCTTTTTATGCAGAAACCAAATTTAGTGAAGCATACTAAGTAGCTCACAGCATCTTTGGAGAATTATGGTTCAGGAAGAAGCCATCCTTGAATTACCCAGTTCTTGTGGGGACCACATTGCTTGCACCAGGAAGTTCTGCTGGGACTGGACACAGCTCTTCCACCTCTGCTGACCTTGGTGATTTTTGCCTCTCCTCCACCTCAGCCACAAAACAGATTCCACACAGCTCCTGGGTCCTCAGCTTGTTCTCTTTCGAAGTAGATTCTCCTACTTGGAGAATGGGGTTCAGATTGTGGGAAGATCCACCTCCAAAGTAGATTCTCCTACTTTGGAGATGGGGTTCAGATTGTGGGAAGATCCCCAGACATAGGGAGCCTATGCAAAAAACCAAAACAAAACAGGTGAATTCTACAGACATGGCAATGGTTCCCCCCCTAAGCTGTAGACTTCTTTGGGCCCTTATGCTTAGAATTTGGGAAAGATGCCCTTAGGTATACATTATCCTTTTAGGTCCAATGGCCCATCTTCACACAGTTTGATCACCAGCTCAGAGACTGCAGAAAGCTACACTTTCTGTGCTAATTGTAATTTAGACTTCCCTTTAAAGCAAATGTAGTTAAAAGAGAAATGGGTGGTGGTCAAGGTCAAATCCTCCTGCCAGCAAACCTGTGTCCGTGGAGAATGTTGAGATATTCTACTTGGCAATGCTATTCCTTAGTGATCAGAATCCCTTCTGTCCAGTCTCCAATGATCAGAAAGGACATGTGATATGTGAAGAAGGATTCATGACGAGTGTTTATTGAAGCTTTACTAGGCACAGGGGCCTGAGCCTGGGCCATGAGGGGTTTCTGAGAAGAGTAAGTTTAGTGTTGGTGACAGACAATCTGTGATTAACTAGGTGTCAGTGGGGTACGGGGAGTAGAGGAAAAATGGTCTTGAGGGGGTCTTTCCATCCTGGGATTATGCCTGAGGCTTTGTGGACTAGATTTCCCTTCTGCAAAGAGGAGCTAATAAGACTTAGCTCATGTGGTTGTTTGAAAGAGTAAGTAGTATATAGTATACAGAGCAGCCAGGGGCTGACACAGCAAGCTTAGTTACCCTGAGGCCCCCACATCTGTCCTTTCCTCCCTTCAATATAAAGTGTGATGGGACTGCTGAGAAAACGGTGGTTGATTTTGCTGGATGGGTTCTGGCTGGGCTCCTGGTGATAAAAGGGTTCTTCAGGCAGTGGAAAAGCAGGACCAAAGCGACGGCTGCTGTGTTTGAGAGCTGGTGGGCTGAACAGCTGCTTGGAGGTGTGTGAGTGGGAAGGGGACTGACTGGAAGCAAGGCTGGATGGGGACTTACAGGTTCTGTGAGTCACGCCGGGGGTCTCTAAGCATGGGTGGTCAAGAAGGGGATTTAAGGCAGAGGACTATTCCCAAAAGGCCAGAGCAGCTGCTTTTTGCTGGTGAAAATATCTCTTTTATTTAGGAATGCCTGGATTTGGAGCTCTCCATCTCTCTGATTGGTAAGATAAGGATGAAAGGGCTGGACTATTTTTTTGGCCCCCATTCAACCTGGGGATATGTATGGTTGATGCCTTTGGAGAGCTTCTTCTTTGTAAATTTTAAAATCAGCTTTATTGAGGTATAATTTATATACAATAAAATGTACCAGTTGAAGCATATAATTTAATCATTTTAACAAATGTATGCTAACACCCACTATAATCAACATATAGAACATTTTCATCACACTAAAACGTCCTTGCTATTTCAAATAAGAAGCATAATAATACCACTTGTTAAATATCTATCACTCTCAAGCAATGCTAGATATTTTACATAAAAAGATTCCAAATCTCTTTAATAGCTCTGTAAAAGCAGATACTATCAGCTCTATTTTGCAGAAGGGAAAACTAAAGCTTGGAAGTGTGAGGCAAATTGTTCAAGGTCATGTAGTCAGTAAATGGCCATGCCAGGATTCCAAGCTGGGATTGCTTCCTGATAAAATCAGTGTTGATGTCACCAGGCCACACTCCTGAGTCCCACTGGGTTATTTCTAACTGATATGAAAACTCCATATCTACCGCACATACCTCTACACAACTTTCTACCGCTCTATATATCTATATCCATACTCATCTATTTATCATCTCTCTATCTTCCTAACTATCTCATAGAATGGCAGAAACTTACCCAATATCTAAAAATCTCCTACTTTCCCCAAATCTCTGGGAAGTCAAGTGTATTTCCCTTTCTGGATGGAGAAGCTGTTGTCATGGAAGATGTCCTAGAGTGAAGGTGGCCTGCCTGCCACCTCAATCATGGACAGACCCAAACCTGGTAGCATCAATTAAGACTTAATTATTAAGTCATACACTTAATTGGGGTGGAAATGTATTCAGCCACATTAGATGGTCCTTGTGAATAATTTGCCATCGGTCTCATCTTTGAAAAGACAGAATTTGATTAGATTGTAAGCCTGGTTGGCCATAGCAAAGGAAGTCTTGGGTGGGACATGGAGATAGAAGAAGGGAAGAAAGAACAAAGAAAGGGTTTATCACAAGCCAAATTCAGTGACTTTGTAATTTATTCGGATCCAGGCCAAGTCTGCCCCTGAGAGCAATAGCAAATGGGCTTGGGTGGGCCCCTTTGATGCAGACTGTGTCCGTAAGAGGTTGGATGAATTCTCCTTCAAGACATAAATATATTCTCAGCTCCAAACACAACCTTTCCTTAAAGGGAAAAATGCTTTCGGGTGGGGAGGTGACTTTATTTGGGTTTCCCTGGGGTGGGCAGCAGCTCACTGAAGACTCCTGGCAGGAAGCAGTCCAGGTGGCTCCTGGCCAGGCCGGTGGAGACCTCTGACCTTCTCTCTAGACTTCAGGAACTTCTGCTTCCCCGGGAGGAGGAAGGTGGCAGGGAGGAGGGGAAGGCATAGGGAGGAGCGATGGGAAAAAAAAAAAGTTTTCTGGAAAAAAAATATTGGCTGTCCTGGAACCAAGGTGAGTAGGAGGACCCGCTGAACTGTGAGCCTTAAGGAGCCCCTTCATGTTTTTTGTTGTTTGTTTTTGTTCATGGCTCTTAGATCTTGAGTATATCATGAAGCCATTGAGTGACAGAGGATCCCTGGGTCTTATCTCTCTGCTGTTTTGCTTTATGTAACAAAGGCCCAGAGAGGGGAAGTGAGTTCCCAGGGTCACTCAGACACTTTGCACCTCCTCTCACAGCTCTACTGTGTCATTCTTGCGACTGAATTAATCCAGAATGGGATGGATTGATAAAAATAACAATAACAGCCATAGCAGCATCAGCTAAAGTTAATCAAGCACTTCCTATACTAGACATTCCCTGAGCTTGAGTATTTCATGGGCTTTACTTCATTCAGTCCTGGTAGGTGATCAGTCCCATTTTCCAGGTAAGAAAATAGAGGCTCAGGAAAAAAAAAAAAAAAAAAAAAAAAAAAAAGGCCAAATACGAAATGATAGCCAGCAGGGGAGAATTGGGATTGAAACCTGGGTAGATGAGACCCAGGGCAGAGGATATGTCTGTTTTACTCATTCTCTGTCTTACACAAGGTATTGCTCAATTATTTGTATGTAAGCCACAATAATCTTAACTTCAATTTACATTTCTGCTTGGGTAATGGTGCTGAGACTGTCCTTTAGACACTCAAAATTGAAGAGCTAAAAATTAATTATCCTGAGTACCGAGAGACTGGTTTAGAGAGAGTAGGCATTAATGTGCATATGTAAGACCTATTGCCTCCTTGAGGTGAAAAATATGGCAAGAGAGGTCATAGTTAATATTATTTCCTATTTACCTCTATCCAGTGCCCTGAAGAGAGGTAACATGTGCTTAACACACTTGTGCCAGGGGTTTTATCCCCAAATCATTGCAACTGCCTTGGGGAAGGGTGCTATGTTATTATGCCCATTTTACAGATCAAATTTAGAGTTAAATGAATTTTCTCAGGGCAACACTATAAATGGAAGTCAGGTTAGGGACCTACCCCA